ATCACTCAAAACTTCCAAAGGAAAAGCTGCATGCTTGATCATCTTATCTCTATACTTAAGAAGTAAGAAGACAGAGATGAAAAAAAGGAAGTATTTAAAGCAACATTAAAACTTGGTGAGTAATGATTTATGATACACCCTGATGCCTATTTTTAGTCTCTATACTGTTGTTGCCAACTGCTGCTGGCAGTTATCAGGAAATAACAGTAATCTTGTCTTCATTTCAAATGTATTCTAAAAAGTATATGCAATCATTTAGCAAGTGAGGCTAAAAAATAACTTTCCTAGAAAAACACTCCACAATGTAAGAAAAACCTTGGAGAGAAATAGTCTAAGACTTTCAATGAGATATAATGCCCTTTTCCTATTCTCAGATACAAAGGGGATTTCTATCCCAAACGCTGTTTTAAGCACCTGTAAGGAAAGATGGATAATCTCATTGACTTGTAAAGTTTAAGAAAATGCAAACACTGAGCAAATGCTCTGTGAATGGAAGGAAGAGCACTCTTCTTCTCTGGGTCCTTGACAGTCTGAATAGTCTGGGCCCTGTACAATTCACATCCTGTAGCATATGGATGGCTAATGCAATGAACCTCTCTAACAGGAGGCTTTTTGTCTTTCTCAGTACCAACAATTCCCATAATGCTTAATGAAGTTTTAAATGTCTCTGTAAACGTTAAGAACTTACCTTTCAGTAGTTCCTAGATGTTTTCTGTGAAAGTATATGCTGTATACACAGTCAAAGAGCAAGCATTTGTCTGTCTTCCAGAAACTAGACATGCCACATCTGAGCTCCGCTATTCTTGTGAATACAATTACTGGCTCACAGCTGTGCTGTGCCTACCATAACCTGTGAAATCACCAGGTGATGACAACAGGAAAACACACATTATTCCCTTCCCCCCTTATCTCTGCTGGGAAACTAAAGAATGCATGGGGGCACCAGCAATACAGCTGCAGCAAGGGGATCCCGGTAGGCAAGGCTCAGAGCACATTAAATACAGACATCAAATGCCCCCAGGAAAGATCTCAGGAAAGCCCTTGGCATTTCTGAGTCTCTTCTCTAGAAAACAGGCAGGGAATGGGGCAAGTGCTTGTGACCAGAGACAATTAAAAGAACATGGAAGGGAGGGGAGCCCCTCACCTCCCATCTAGTGGAAGTCCTTTATCTACTAATAGTCAAACTTTTTGTTTGTTTTGTTTTTTATTTTTCGAGGCAGGCTTCTCTGTATTGTTTTGGAGGCTGTCCTGGAACTAGCCCTTGTAGACCAGGCTGGCCTCGAACTCACAGAGATCCGCCAGCCTCTGCCTCCCGAGTGCTGGGATTAAAGGCGTGGGCCACCAACACATGGCTAATAGTCAAACTTGTTCAGATAGCTGTGAAGTCTACATATTTTGAAACAATAGTCCTTTTTAACAGTACACATTTCAAATAAGAATGTTCAAGTAGAGGCTGGGGAGCAGGTACACTTGCTGCTCTTGCAGAGAAACTGGGTTTGGTTCCCAGCACACACATGGTGGCTAACAATCATTTGTGACTCCAGTTCCAGTGGCTCCCACCCCCCCTGTGGGTCTTCGTGAGCACTACACACATGGCACACCAACATATATGCAAGCAAAACACTCATGCACATAAAATAAAGATAAATCTTAAAGAAAACCAGAACATTAGGGGCTGAAGCTATAGTTCCAGAAGAACCGAGGCCAGCAGCTCTGAGAGATCTAGCACCTCTGCTCTCCTCAGCACCTGCGCTCACATGCAGACACTCATAATTAAAAACAATAAAAAAGTAAAAATTCAACTCATTTTACCAAACAAATGATAATTTTATGTTAAAAAGGTGTTGAAACAAGGGATCGTGTTTAAGACCAAAGCATGTGGCGTTGAGTTTAACTTGCTTTCTGTCTCAGACATAAAACTGTAGATTGTCACAACAGGATTCAAAACCGTGTTTACAGTCAAGTCTCAATTTTGTGACCTACACTCCTTTGACCCTTTTGACCTGTGTTTTTATCTTATCACCCTGTCAAGCACACCTCAGAAATTGCTGTATTACTCCACGGTCTTATTTATTAAAAACAAAACAAAACAAAACAAAAACAAACCCAGGAGGATGAGACAGGTGTACTGCACGAGTTTGAGGTCAGCCTGAGCTAGAGTAAGACTCTAAGAAAAACACAAACAAAAAAACATCCCAGAATAAAGCAACTTCAGACGGCACCTAAATCAGACACGGTTAAGACATTCCAAAGGCAGTCTCCTGGAGGAAGCCCACACCCACACAGGAGTGTATGTATGACAGCCTTTCTGAAGCACCTTTCTGTTTCCCTTAAGGCCTGTGCTTCTATGTTAAAAACCTTCCTTGTCAGAGACAAGAGAATCAAAGGTTAAAGATCAAACTTGACTACCCATCATGTTGATGAGTAACCTAAGCTATATTAGACCCTGTCTTAGAAAGAAAGAAAATAAGCAAGCCAATAGTTAAGTCTTAATGAATCCCACCTCTGCTCTAGACTCACTGGTCCTAAAATTCTCTTCTTCAGTGTCAAGTGTCTCAGCACCACCTCAGCAAAGGTCTCTGAAAAGACTCCTCAAGCATCTCCCAGTCCCTGTTCAGCATCCAAAAGGCTAAGGCAGGGGAATGCAGATGTGAAGGCTAGCTTGGACAACTCAGCTTAGTAAAAACAACAAACAAAACAACATTCCTTAAAAGCAAAAAGAACATAAATACCACAGTACTAACATGGCTCAAAAGCAGAAGAAACACACAAAGTATGTTGCTGAGACAAAGAAGCAAACTTACATCAAAGAACAGGAAACTGCGGACACAGGCAGCCAGCAAAACACCTTAAAGCACAAGGCTCAGGACACCTGCAGGTCAGACAGCCAGGGCAGGCAGAGGTCCTCATCACTGCTCAGTGCCTCCTCTGTAGGAAGACAGGCTGGGGCTCTGCCACTGAAAAAAAGTAAGCTCGTCAGAAATGCAGAGAGCTAATGAACTTGGGATGGTAGCTCACACTTACAATCCCAGCACGTGGGAAACTGAGGCAGGAAGAATGACAAGAGCTGCAGACTACCCTGAGCTACAGAGTGAGACCCTATTGGAATGAGGGGTAAAAATGGCTAGCTGGTGTCTTTAAGCAACCTATCTTAGGAGGAAAGTCCTGACAGCTGTGTACAAAACAGTTTGGGAAAGAGGAAGAAAAATCATTAGAACAAGGAATCAGTGACAAAAATGCCGAGAAGAAGCTATCTGGGCTTGACCTGGGACTGTGAAATTGAGTGGAAAGGTCCAGCAAAGGCCAACTATCTGCACTTGTCAGCATGACGGGAAGCCCCTGAGGAAGAAGAGGAATTAGCACCAAGCTTCCAAGGCTTGATGACACAGAGCAAGGATCAGAGGTGGTTTTGGTTGTAGAGATGTTACATTCCAGGGAACGCTGAGGGAAATGACTTCACATTGGAACCCAGGTCTAGGACAGAAACTGAAAAGACATGTGGGAATTGCAGTTCAAGTTACACGGTGCAGAGGAGATTTAAGTAATGAAGGCAGAACAGGTGCCGAGAACAAACACTGAACTTGGGGACACTGTGAACTCTGGAGGAAAAGGACCTATGAGAGACCTCAGGAGGGTCCCAAGAAACATAGAGGATGTGCTGACAAGCAATATGAATCGTCATGGAGATTAAATGCGGGCCAGGCTGGAGAGATGGCTCAGTGGTTAAGAGCACTCACTGTGTGCTCTTCCTGAGGATTCTGGTTCAATTCCCAGCACCCACACAGAAGCTCACAACGGCCTGTAATTCCAGCCACAGAGGATCTGGACCCTACAGACTCGTCATGCACATGCTACACAGACATACATGCAGGCAAAGTACACATAAAATAAAAGTTGACTAATTAAAAAAAAAAAAAAGGTGACGGGGGCCAAGCCAGGTGAGTGTTGAGAAGGAGCTGTCAGTACAGGTAGAAAACGGTGTTTAAAGCCGGGGCTTTTCAAATGTGAGCTGAGCAATTCAAACCTAATGTATCCATTCCAGAAAGCAGAGACCATATTCATCAGGGTTCTCAAGAGTAACAAAACTTATAGAACGGATCTCTTTATATATAAAGAAATGGAATTTATCAGAATGTCTTACAGGCTGTAATTCTGCTAGTCCAACAATGGCTGCCCACCACTGGAAAGTCCAAGAATCCAGTAGTTGTTCACTCTACAAGGCTGGATGTCTCCGCTGGCCTCCAGTACACCGGAATTCAGAAGAAGCAGGCTCTAATGCTAATGAAGGCATGGACTGCCTAGCAAGGAGAGCACAAGCAGGCAGAGAGAGGCTTCCTTCTCCCACGTCCTTTGATTGGATGCCAGCAGGAGGTGTGGTCCGGATTAAAGGTGGCTCCCCCACCCCAAAATATCTGAATTAAAGGTGTATGTGTGTTCCCTCTTCTTCAAAGAGCCAAATAATTTAAGAAAATCTCTCACAGGTGTGCCCGGCCATTTTTGGGGGGAGGGGGTTAGTTAATTCCAGACGTAGTCAGGTTGGCAACCAAGAAAAGTCATCTCAGAGACTCAAATAAATGTAAAAGATGGGTGAAAGAGAAGACACAGGTAGATTCTCAGAGACGGGAGGGGCAGAGGGGCAGCAGTCCCTGCCCTAGGGGTACAGTAAACTCTATTTTGGTGGGGCACAGATTGAACAGCATCCCCCAAAGCTCATTTTATGTCCGAAGATAAGCAACCAGCCAAGCTGACCGTGATCACGGCTCTCATAAACTAAAAGGACTAGACCAGGTCTTTGATGGGACATGAAGCTAGCCCACCACAAGCATGCTAATCCTGATGAAGAACAGAGCTAACAGACAGGGGCAGGCAGGGCTTGCTGTTGGGTGTAAGGAAACTATACATTTTGTTATAAACAAGCCATATGGGGGGAGAAATTGGTGAGCGAGCAAACAAGCCTCCTGTCTGTCTTCCAGCCTCACGTGTGGATGGTGTCTAAATGCTGACCCGCACAGACCGACCAGCATCAACAATGACCAAAAAGAAAAACAAGTCCACATTTTCCTGGCAAATCACAGCACTGGAAGCTATGGCCACCGACAACTTGCCCCTCCTCCCCACCGCGTGCAGGGCCCATCGCCGCTGCGGAAGCCGGAAGCCACTCGGGCCTCACAGGCCACCGGGCCTGGGACCACAACAGGCGCAGCGCTCCAGGCCGCGGCCCACGCTCAAGGCACCGAAGGAGGCCGCGCGAGGCCAGGCGCCTCGGGTCCGCTACTCACCGCAACACCCGCAGCCCGGGATAGCGGCGCTCCGGGGCGCGGGCTGTGGCATCTTCGCTTCCGCCGCAGCCCGGGTCGAGCCGCAGGGAACAGGACTTGCAACCTGCGGAGCCCGGCGCCGCGGCTCCTGTGGCTGCGCCCCCGCCCCCGCCCCCGCCCCCGCCCCGCCCCGCCCCGAGGATGACGTCACGGACCGCGGGCAGGCGTCACGCGGGCCCCGCCAAAGCGAGCTCTGCTTTCCAGGGCCTTGGCGAAAGTCTACCGTTAGCGAAGTCTACGGTTGCTCAGGGCAGAAATGTAGATGAGGAGGAGGGGACGACGAGTTGTTCTCAGGAAGGGAGGAAGGCACAAGTTGGCTAGAGAGAATCTGTCTGCTCTAACACAATGGTAAGGGTTTTGGCCTTTGGTCCAGCAATGCTGCTTTACATCGACGAATAATCTGAATATTTAATCCTGTCACCTCTGAAATGAATGCTATTCGGTCAAGACCTTAAATTTTTTTTCGTGATGTCTGGCAGAGGAACCGGGACACATTGTAGGGAGGGAATTCTGCATCCCTTATTACTAAGAAAACAGCATCACCTGAACCAAACCAATAGATCGTTCTAGCTAACATTAGCCCAGAATACATTCCCTCTTCATTAACCGACTGCGGTGGCTTACAGTGCCCCCCACAGGCTTATGTGCAGAGCTTGGTGCCATTGGTGGTGCAAGTCCCAAAGGCTCTGGAACCTTCAGGAGGCGGGGACAATCTGGAGGGAGGAGGATGTGGGGGTGCCCCTTTGAGGATCTTACCTAGCCCAGAGGTCCAAGTCTCCTCTGAACTTCCTGTCCATCACAAAGTAAATAACTTACCCACACACTACTGTCATCCTGATGTCTGTCCAAGTGCAGTGAGCAAGCAATCATCCAGTGGACCCACAGCAACTATGAGCCAAAACTTTTCCCTTTAAGTTGTGCTCACAGTGGCACAAAGTTAACCCATTCGTGGTCCTGCCAAATATCTACTAGTATTGTCAGGGTTTGGGATGTTATGTTATGCTACCTAGGTCTCTCCACAAGTCTGAGGTCCTGATGACACTTCCCTGTGTCTTCCCATGGCCTTCAAGCAGTTGCTGTCCAATGCCAAAAAGGGTATGTTTCATAGTTTCCATCCTTATGTGTGGTTTATTTTTCGAGACAGGGTTTCTCTACTTAGCCCTAGCTGTCCTGGAACTAGCTAGCTCAAGTAGACCAGGCTGGCCTTGAGCTCACAGAGATCCACCTGCCTCTGCCTCCGGAGTGCTGGGATTAAAGGTGTGCGCCACCACTGCCGGGCTCATAGTTTCCATTCTTGTCCACACAGCAACTCATCTTAAGTGGAACTAGTAGTTATTTCAGGGATGGCTCTCTCTTGCAAGGGCAATAGCACAGCGTGTATCTGTGCGCATCACAATGTGTGTGTTACCTTTCTTGTTTTGCAACAATGTACCTGACAAAAGCAATTTAAGGGCTTATGTGGGCACACAGTTTAAGGTACAGCCTCCATTTTGGTGGATAAACCATGGCAGCCAAAGTATAAAGCAGCTTGGTACATTGCATCCTTAGGAGGCAGAGAGGCTGATGCACATTGTTCTTTCTTTTTTTTCCCCCCTTTATATTTAATCCGGTCCCTCCTTCATGGGTTATGGCCACCACCTTCCTGGTGGGTTTTCCCTACACAATCTCAGAGACATGCCCAGAAGAGGTGTCTCATAGGTGACCCCAAATCCTGTCAAATAATGAAGATTATTAACCATTTCATCTAGTATCCCTAAGTGGGTGAGGCTTACAAAATATAGGACAGCGAATCAGCATTCTGATGCTCAGTCCTGCTGGCGGCCCCTGAGAAACTTCACGGCGGTGATGAGGAAACTGGACAGGCTGTGTTTGCATAGGCTAAGGTTGGCCACCCTCTCAGACCCCGCCCCCTTTTGTGTCCTTTCAGTGTGCTTCCTCCCTCGCTTTCTTTGTAGACTTTGTGAATTCCTCCTCTTTGACCTTCTTAAACTCAACAGGGTGAACCTTACAGCATTCCTCACACCCCCAGAGAAGTACTTCAGGAGCTAAGGAGTCTCTGGGTATGGCAGGCAGAGTCAGCTGATCTGTCCCAACCCCATATACATAAACAACAAGGCATAATTCAAGAAGCATCAGGGGAGCCGTGGGTCACAGGACAGAGGACAGAGGGAGGGCACAGACATGAAAATAGAAACAGAAAGGCCATCAGGAACATATGAGGAACCTGCATGGACATCTTAAACTGACTTGGACATCAGACTCTTAGGAACCCAACCAAGCCAGGAGGCAGCCCCAGGTTGCAAGAAAGGAGCTTGTTCTAACTCAACCACTGTACATGTGTCATGGCTCTCTGTGAACATTTTCCTAAGGCAATCATTTCAGCCCATCAGATCTGTGAAGGCTCCCAGAACAGAGCAGGCTCTAAGCGGCCGTCACAGCCAAGTGAATTCGTCAAATAATCACAGCATGTATTTTATCTGGGTCAATCATATCCCAGCAACTGAACCATGAGAGAACTTACATTTCTAATGTCAAGGTCCTTATCCCCAGAACTTCAGTGGCAGTTGAGCAACAAGGGAAGAAATTGTCACTAGAGGTAGAGAAAAGCACTCCTGAGAGATTGGCCACTCTGATTGTATTTCCTGTTGCATTTCATATAATTCCGTGGTGCTCCAAACTTGTCCTGTGGTGCCAATATGTTGAAGAACTAGGGGACTTTTTCACCCTTTATTAGTGAAATTGATTCCATTCCTTTTCGTCAGGGTATATAAATGGCTCCAACTCTGGGAAGACATTATCCAAATACCACTGGAATGACTTGCAACCCAGTCATTTCCTTAATTCAACACACTCACTAATGTTTCCATAGGGTACATACTTCAAAGATGGTCTTTGAAGAAAAAAATTACCCTAGATGAAAACAAACAGTCATTTTATTAAACCAAAAAAAAATTTAGGTAATCAGGTCATGATAGCAAACATCAAGACATGTTTTCATCATTGGAACAAAAATGCCCTTTCCTCTTGCTGTGCAGCAGTTTTCTGTGAGATTAAAACCTTCCATCTTCTAGGAAAGCCTGGTAAAACACAGGATGTTAAAAAGGAGGTGATAGCCGGGCGTTGGTGGCACACGCCTTTAATCCCAGCACTCGGGAGGCAGAGGCCGGCGGATCTCTGTGAGTTCGAGACCAGCCTGGACTACCAAGCGAGTTCCAGGACAGCCTCCAAAGCCACAGAGAAACCCTGTCTCGAAAAAACCAAAAAAAAAAAAAAAAAAAAAAAAAAGGAGGTGATATTTTAAGATGTGTTTTTAAAATGGTGTAGAACAGGGTGTTCTAAAGAGAAGTAAAGGCTCATTAAGCCCATGAAGTAAACAGTTCAATGGCTTCAGGAAGTTCCTGAAAATGACCAGATATACTAGGCCCTTCCATCCTCAAACGTGTGTGTGTGTGTGTGTGTGTGTGTGTGTATGAACACATATATGCTATAAAGACTGCGGAGGCTCTCAGGCAAGCTGAGCTTCCTAGGAGAGGCTCAAACCAGCCTAGAAGCCTGGAAGAAGGCGAGAACAGCAAACTGCCTGAAAGAGGCTCTGAACTCCCTGGAAAAGACTCTTCAACAGTTTGAGCCCCCTGGAGGCTATTCAGTATGCTCTAGGTTCCTAGCTTTCACAAGCTGTCACCCATGCTGGGATGGACTTTATAAAAATTAAATTTTGTTTATGTATGTATGTCAGCATGAGGGTTTGTACATGTGAGTGCCCTAGCTGTAGAGGCCAGATGAAGGTTTCATATCTCCTAGTCCTATACAGACAGTTATGAGCTGCCCGATGTGGGTGCTGGTAAATGAAGTTAGCACTTCTGGAAGGGCAGCAAGGGCTCTTAACTACTGAGTCTTTTCTCCACACCCAGGAGGCAAGACTTTTGGCAATTCAGTTTTCTTTAAATCATTTCTGCTCCTGTAAGTAACCCCTCACCCATATTCCTGCAAGTAACCCCAATAAAGCTCATTTGTTCACCAAATTGGACTTTGGTGATACACATGTTGTTTGTTTGTTTGTTTGTTTGTTTGTTTGAGACAGGGTTTCTTGGTAGCTTTGGAGGCCGTCCTGGAACTAACTAGCTCTTGTAGACAAGGCTGGTCCCGAACTCACAGAGATACACTACTTTTCTCTGTCATTGGTTCCCTATCTTGGGTGAGTAGATTTCATACTCCTCAGGAATAGTGACACATAACACCTCTGCGCAGGGAATGAGAGAGAGCGTTTGACATCTGCTTTGATACCAGTTCATCACCATTGTGTCCACCACAACACCATAATGACCAACACAGTGGAACCCAGGAAAACTTATGTCCTGATTCTCAGGAGACCCAAAGTCACAGTTTCCCATCCCAGTGGTTTCTTTCTCCCATACGCAAAGCCTAAGCTCCTTATTTCCTGATCTCCAACAATATCCCTATACTTCCAGAACAAGTGTGGTGTAACAAAATCAAAAGGACTCTCGAGCTAAACAGTTTTGCGCTCATTCCTGGCTTTGCTATCGATTTCCTATTACTATGGGCAAGTGTCTTCATGAGGTCAGTATGAAGATTGGGCACTTACAATGTAAGCAAAGCCTACGAGAAAGCAGGCTGGTGTGCAGTGTTAGGGTGCATGGGTCCTTTCTTGCACCACAGATGTTTAGTTTTTATTTGTCTTGTTTTTCACGACAGGGTCTCATGTATCCTTGAACCCATTATAGGGAAGAGGCTAGCCTTGAACTTCTAATCCATCTCTATCTCCAGAATGCTAGAATTATAGGTGTGTGCCACCATACCCAGTTTATGACATGTTGGGGATGGAACCCATGGCTTCATGGATGCTAACAGAGCTCCATCCAGTTAGCATCCATGTTTTTGTTTCTTTGTTTGTTTAAAGTGTTCTGAAATAAGTGGTAAGGATGCATATCAGATTCCTTGTTCCTGTGGTAAAGAGGCATTCTACAAACTAGGTGGTGATGGCACATCCCAGCACTTGGAGGCAGAGGCAGGTGCGTCTCTGTGAGTTCGAGGCCAGCCTGGTCTACAAAGGGTGAAAGGGCGTTTCAGGGCAGTTACACAGAGAAACTCTTTCTTGAAAAACAAGAAAACAAAAAGAAAAAGAAAAGAAAAAAAGAGGCATTCTAAACAGACCAGGGTTCTCTGAATTCAGAACCCTTGTGTTTTCATCTGTGTATTTCCAGTGCTGCCAAGTAGGATAGCAACATTGCTAAATGGGAGAGGGGGTTTGCTTCTCCAAATGAGTGTGTTCTGTGTATGTTATGTTGGATTTTTCTTGACGGTTCTTAAGTATTGTAAGCTTTTGCCACTACTTCCCAGGGTGGGTTGTTAAAGACGGGATGATTCCATCAGCTTGGAGGCATGAAGGCCTGGATTACCTTGGGAAATATTTCTCCATTGCAAAGCCTTTTATTGTACCATACAACTCATCAAATTTTCCAACATGTAGTTTCATACAGTCTGTTGGTTTTACATGTAACCTTTCAAATATGATCTTAGCCAGGTGGTGGTGGTGCACCCCTTTAATCCCAGCACTCGGGAGGCAGAGGCAGACGGATCTCTGTGAGTTCAAGGCGAGCCTTGTCTATAAGAGCGAGTACCAGGACGGCCTCCAAAAGTCACAGAGAAACCCTGTCTCAAAACAAAACAAAACAAAACAAAACAAAAAAAACAAAAAACAACTGAAAGACCCCTATCCAGGACCCCCTAGGAAAAGAAAAGCAAGGCCAGGCCGTTGCCTAATGAAAAACACCCAGACCAGGTGCCTCGCCCAGCTGGAAGGATGTCAAACAGGATCTGTGGTCACCAGAGCAGTCATAGGACCCGGATAATAATTACTGAAGCGTGCCAGGGTCTTTTATGTGGCAATACCAGGACACCTAGTCCTTGGCAACTACCCCCTGCCCCCAGTTGTGTCTATGATCCCCATAGTAGTCATGGGACCCAGATAATAATTGCTGAAGTGTGCCGGGGTCTTTCATGAGGTAATACCAGGAAACAGTCTGTGGGAACTACCCCTGCCCCCAAGATGAGCCAATGAAATGCCTGTTGCTATGCTGATACTTATGTAACCATTAAAACTCTATAAATATTGTGCTCCCTGCAAGTCCGGTATGCTCTTCACCCGAGTTGCAGTAGCATCCGTAGGCGCCTGTGTACTCAATAAATCACCTCTTGCATTTGCAGCCAGTGGTCTGGCCCCGGTTCTTGGGCAGAGGGTTTGGTTCAGTGCCCGGCGCTTTGATGCCAAGGTTTTTCACAACAACAACAACAAAAAATCAAGCAATCAAACAAAACCAGATCTGATCTTAGCCTGCACCTGAAACTGTTCTCAAAACTCATAAGTCTTCTGCCTCAGCCTCCCATGTGCTGTCATTACAAGTATGTGCATCACTCTTGGTTCACATTATGTGTTTTTTATATCCTTTATGAAACTTAGTCACTCAGTAATTGTAATGTTCAATTCAACTGCTTAGATCCATGACTAGAATTCACAGCCGTGGGAGAAAGGAAACATCAGCACTACAAACATAAATTCAAGATCACTCATAAAAAGTCTGGTTTAGGGCTAGTGAGATGGCTAAGCAGGCAAAGACACTTGCCACCCGGCCTGATGAGCTGAGTTCAGTCTCCCAGGACCCGTATGGTGGAAGAAGAGAGCTGACTCGAAAGCTGTCTGTTGACCTCCACATGTACACGTGCAGGTATGCTCACATACAAGAAATTAATAAATATAGAAGACATACATAATTTGAACATATTACTTTAATGTGTTAGATTAGGAGAAATACACAGCTTAATTATATCTAATATACGGAGACCTTTTTATATACCTACAGTGACAATGTGGATCACTACATGGACAGTGAGGGACAGTTTGGATGTTGCCCATCAGTATTTAATAATGGGTTAGCTCACCCCCCAGAAACTCCATGTCTTGATATTTATTCCAAATATAAATGTACAAATATAAACAAAGATATGTGTAAAGATGTGCATTTCAGTGTTGAGCACAAAATAAATAATAGAACCCAACTCTCAAGGTAATCAGAGTGTTTATCACCAATGACTGTTTAAGTGGAGTCAGCTCTGGCGGGCCTGTTCACCCATCCAAAGGGACTCTTCAGGGGAAAGGTACTTGGGATTGTAGAGAATACTTAGCAGTTAAGAGCACTGACTACTACTGCAGAGAATACAGATTCAATTCCCAGCACTCACATGGGGGCTCACAACTATCTATAACTTTAGTTTCAGGTGATCTGTTGCCTTCTCCTGTCACCAGGAACATAAGTGATACACAAATATTCATGCAGGCAAAACACCCATAAAATAAAAATAAATCTTTTTAAAGAAGAAAGGTACTTGAAATGTTTTCATTTTCAGGGGTAATTTGTAAATATGTTTTTAAAATACAGCAATAAGCCAGGCAGTTGTGGCGCATGCCTTTAATCCCAGCACTCGGGAGGCAGAGGCAGGCGGATCTCTGTGAGTTCGAGGCCAGGCTGGACCGACAGCCTCCAAAACAATACAGAGAAACCCTGTCTCGTAAAAAAACAAAACAAAACAAAAATACAGCAATAAATGCAAAGGTTTAAGGATGAAACACTTCGTTGTACAGTCACATGAATGAATCTGGGCCTTGTGGCACAAGTCTCTATTCCCAGCACTGGAGAAATAGAGATAGCAGGGTCACAAGTTCAAGGCCAAACTGTACTACATAGAGAAATCCTGCCTTAAAAAAATTACAGAGAAGAAAGAAGTAAGCCGGGATCTGGTGGCACAGACCTTTAATTCCAGCATTTGAAAGGCAGAGGCAGGTAGATCTCTGTGAGTTTGAGGCCAGCCTGGTCAACAAAGCGAGTTCCAGGACAGCCTCCAAAGCTACACAGAGAAACCCTGTCTCAAAAAACAAAACAAACAAGTATCTTCTAATGTGCATATGTGATAACCAGCAACCACAACAAATAATTCAATGATCACTTTGGGAACAATAGGCTGTTTGTTTTATTAATTTATTTTATTTTCTAATGATTAATTTATTTTATGTGTGTACACTGAATGTATTATTGTGTACTATGTGCTTATAGGAGTCTAGAGGTGCCCTCAGAGGCTAGAAGAGGACACTGATTCCCCTGGAGCTGGAGTTAGGATGTGACCCACCCTGTGGGTACTTAGAATTGAACCCAGGTCCTTTGGAAGAATGGCAGGTACTCTTAACTCTTAATCATTTATTTTTTAAATGTACATGTGTCTCTTTGATCACATGTCATGTATTCAGGTGCCTATAGAGGCCAGAAGAGTTTTGAATCCCCTGGAGCTGAATTTACAAGCAGTTTTAGCCCATCCCGTATGGATAATGGGAATAGAACTTTGTTTTCTATAAGAACACAACCATCTGTTAGTGTTTGCCTGGTCCCTAGAGTATTAATTTTGTACTCCTGATGATCATATGAATTTTAAAATAAGCATGTTTAACCCTTAACATTTTAAAATATGGGCATGCTGGCACCACTTATAATCCCAGCACTTAGGAGGCTGAGTCTGAAGGATTACTGTAAGTTCAAGACCAGCCTATCTATCCTACATTGTGGGTACTAGGAAAGCCAGGATATATAGCAATACCCTGTCTCAAAGAAACTAATGATATTCATTAAAGACAATATAATAAAAATGCAAAAGGACATAAAACATAAATGTTTAACTTGCTTAATTATCAACAAGTCAGCTCCAGCTCCCTGTTTAAGAGGTGAACACCGGCAACCCAGAGCTATCTTAACTATGTCCTTTTTCTTGCTCTGATTTCATTTTTAAATTTACTTTATGTATATGAGTGTTTTGCCTGCATGAATGTCTGTACATCAACATATGTGCCTGATGCCTGCAGAGACAAGCCACCATGTGGGTGCTTGATCTCAAGTCCTCTGCAAGAGCAACAAATGCTCTTAAGCACTGTAGTGGCTTTTCTTGGTTGTCAACTTGACTACATCTGGAATTAACTAAAACCCAAGTGGCTGGGTTCACCATTGAGGGATTTTTTTTCTTAAATTGAAGTAAGAAGCCCACTTTTAATCCAGGTCTTTTGAGGTGGATAGATGCAATTTTGATTCAGATCTTCTGAGGTGGGAAGATCCACATTTAATCTGGGTTGTGCCTTCTTCTGGCAGCCTATATACAAGACATGGAAGACGGAAGCTTGAAACGTGCTCTTGCTGGCAAGTCCGTTCATTTACTGGCATTACAGCCTACTTCTTCAGGATTCCAGCATATACTGAAGACCAGTGAGACATCCAGCCTCGTGGACTGAAAAACTACTAAGTTCTTGGATCTTCTGTTAGTAGACAGTCAATGTTGGACTAGCTGGACCACAGCCTGCAAGTCATACTAATACATTCCATCTATGCACCGTCAGTGCAGTTCCTCTAGAGAACCCTGATGAGCACAGCCGCTGAGGCATCTCTCCAGCCTCTCCACCTGTTTTTGAAACAGGGTTTCAATTGTGTAGTCATAGCAGACCTAGGACTCACTATGTAGACCAGGCTGATCTGGAACTCATAGAAATCCATCTTCCTCTGCCTCCCAAGCACTAATCTCAAAGTTTAACCTTGCTCACTTTTAATTTCATAGGAAGAGAATACAATATGTATTAGTTATTCACCATTATGCCTTATAGATACACCAGTCGTGGTGGTTGTATATGTATCTATAGCTTATGGGTTTGCAGTGCTGTATAGTCCTATAGCTACTAAATAAATCACCTATATCCATTATATTCTTTTTTCCTTGTTTTTAAAGATTTTCCTTTTTTTTTTTGACAGGGTTCTCATTTTGTAGCTCTAGCTGGCCTTGAACTCACAGAGATCTGCCTCTGCTCTTGAGTGCTAGATTAAAGGTGTGTACCACCATGCCAGGACATTTATTTTAATTATGTGTGTGTGTGTCTTTGTGGGAGGTATGTATCCCTGGGTTCAAGTGCCACCAGAAGTGTGGCCATATTCCCTGGAGCTGGACATAGCAATGGCTGTGTGCCACCTGGATGTGGGTACTGAGAACTGAACTCAAGTCTTCCACTAGAGCAGCCTATGCTCTTACTCAGCCATCTCTTTAGCCCCATCATTCCACTCTGTTTTTGGGATGGAGTGTTACTAAGTTGCCTTGACAGGCTTCAACTTGCATCCTTCTGACTCAGCAGGAATCCCCCAACAGTGCCCTGATTATAAAAGAAAAACTGGAGTCACCCGGGGAAGAGAGACTCCAGACAGGAATTGCCTCCATGTGGGGACATATATAAATCAAGGGACAAACCTTTCAAATAGAAATATTTGACTGTTGATAGAAAAGGAATTCACAAGACCTGCACCAGCCACATCTTCCAGGAAACTGGTCGTGGCTCGTTAGGACAATCTGAAGAAATCAGCTCCTGATGCTGCAGCAGGGAGGGGAAGAGTAATTCCCCAGTGAATAAGTAGATATGGTTTTAAGGAAAGACTCTGCAGGTTGATTTGCTTCTGAGAAACTTGAATTTTCCTAAAATTCAAACTTAAAAAATAAGTTGCATCAACAGCTACTTAGGTTTAACCAATTGAGAGCAGGACTAATGGTGAGTGGGTGAGGAATTGAAGGGGCTCCATTGATTTATGAAAAACAGGAAAGAATACAATTTGGATCTGGAAAGATGGAAGTCTTAAGAACAACAGCCCAGAACCTGATCACCACAATCAGAGGTATCACTCACCTTGTATTCATCCAACCAGATGTGAACCACTGGCAGTAAGTTCCTTGACAAGGCTTTCTTGAGTACGGCATTATTGAAATTCTTACTGTCATGGGAAATTGTCAAATATAGGAAAATGTACACCTTAATACCTGGGGTTAGTCAATAGAATTCAAGTATGTGTGTGGACATGCAAAAATATGCATTAAAATAACTTGCTGTCTTCATGTGAGTTATGCAAAACTGTTTTAAAGGCCTTGGGCTAGAAACATGGCTGAAAGGGTTAAAAGCAATTCCCTGCAAGAACAAGGATCTGAGTTGGACTCCTCCAGCAAGAAGCTGGGCATGACAGCACACACCTGCAAACCCAGGGCTAGAGGGGTTGGGAGACAAAGACAGGAGAAAAATAGTGAACTTCAGTTCAGAGGGAAATCTGTCACAAACGAACAAAGGTGAAGCCCGATAGAGGAGGACAGCTGGCATCCTCCTGACTTCTGAATGCACATACATGTACCTGCACACACATGTGTGTATATACACTCATACATACACATCAAACATAAAAGTTTCCATTTCATCACTGTAAATGATGCCGTAGAGGGGCTGGTGAGATGCTTTAGTGAGTAGAGGTGCCTGCCACCAAGTTTGACCACCCGAGTTTCATCCTAGGACCCCAAAGAGGAGGGCTGGAACTGACTCTTGTAGGTTGTTCTGTGACTTCAATACATGTGCTGTGGCAATGCGTGCCTCTCCTCCATGTACACACACACACAAATTCATCTTCAAAAACATTGCATCTATCTGTTTGGTGGTACACATGCCACAGTGGCGGTCAGAGAACAACTTTGAAGGACTTGGCTCCCTTGCCCTGTGGCTCTCAGGAATCTAACTTGGGTCATCTGGTTTAGTAGCAAATGCCTTAACCCACTAAGTAACTCACCAGCCCCCATGTGGTATATTTGCTGGAGCCATTCTGTTTCCTGGATTCCAGTAACACCAACATGGCCTGGAAACTTGATAAAAATGAAAACCCACGGGCCACTGATCTGGGAAGTGTGGTTGGGGCCAAGCCTTCTGCATTTTCATAGGCTCTTCATAAGGTTCAAATGCACACTCAGATTTTATGATCCTGTGTTGGCAAACTTTTCTGGGGAAATTCACGTAAGCATTGTGGAACAGTAATGGGAAGTTATCATCCTCCCTGAAACACTCTGCGTGGGATTGAGAATATGGCTCATTTGGTATAGTGTTTTTCTGACATACTCAGAGTCCTGAGTTCAAGTCCTAGCACTACATCCACCACTGGCCATGGTGGTCCACAAACTGCAAGTGGAGCACTCAGGCGGTGGAAATAGCATCAGAAGTTCAAGGCCACCCTGGCTACAGGAAATTCTGACTTAGAGAAACTCACAGAATATCTCAAAACAATCCTTCACATTCCTTGTCTGGGAGACACAGAATAAAATCCTTAGCCCAGAAGTCCACGGTTAGGTTCTTTTATCAGCTTATCCAATGGTCTGGCCGCCTGTGTTCTGTCTGGAAATTGTGACCTAGAAGTTGTTGATATTGATTTCTGTTCTATGTTTCATCATACAGCAAGAGCTGACAGATACAAGTAATCTATGTTTCAGTCTTCTTTTTAAAAGAAAAACTGAGGAAATTTGAAAAGCTGTTACACTGTTAATATGTTTAACAGTTTTATAATTACCACGAATACTTATTTTTCCATCTTGTAAATTATTCTTTATATCTGAGTGTTTTGTCTGCATGTAGGTCTGTGTAACATATGTGTGGTGTGTGTTGTGTCTGCAAAGGCCAGGAGAGGTCGCTGGATCCCCGGAACTGGACTTTCAGTTAGTAGTGAGCTGCCAAGTGGCTGCTGGGAATAGGATCCTGGTCTTTGGGAAGAACAACCAGTGCTCTCACTGCTGAGCCCAGCTCCTTCTCTGTTTTCTGTTTGTTTGTTTGAAATGTTCATTGGTTTCAAGAGACTACAGAAGTCAACTTATAAAAAAAAGTGGGGACTAAAACTAAAACTTTCTTTCAAAATGTTGTCAAGAAATACATTGAAGAAAAGCAGTAGATTTTAGCCCAATTTCCATAGGTCCCAGAAAGCTGCTTGTTTATTCTTCTGTTATAGTTTGTTTTTATTTTGAGATAGGACCTACGCTGGCCTCAGACTCACTATATAGCTGAAGATGAACTTGAACTTCTAATCCTCCTGCCTGAGGTTCAGGGATTATAAGACATGTATGTGCCACCATGCCTAGTTTTATGTGGGGCTGGGGTTGAATCTGGGAGTTTGTGCGTGCTGGGGAAACACTACCTAGTGAGCCATATCACTAGGCTGATCACGGATCCCCTTTATATCTAATGAACATACCCGACTACTGACAGGATTATAAACTAGAAGATAGAGGAAGAGTTGTGGCCATCCCTACACAGACAATGAGCACAGGAGAGGGTGTGTCCAGATGGATGTGTCTCCATTAAGAACAAATCTAGAGTAAACAAGAAGCAGGACTAGGGATGAAACCAGTTGGAAGAGTGCTTGCCCAGAATGCATGATGCTTGAAAAGTGCCTGCAGCTTCCTAGATCTTGACCCCTCTTGTAACTTTTGAGAACATTGTGACCTCCTCAGTGACCGTGAACCTGGGCCAGCCTGCTTGACAAATGGCCGAGTGGTTCTCATTGCTCCATATGAGGCAGCCAAATGGCAGAAGACATTCTGGATGGGCTCCAGGTGAACACAGAGGCAGCAACATCTGTAGAAATCAGACATTCTAGCCAAGACCAGCACCACCGTAGTAACGTCAAAAATTGAGGGGATTAATAATTGTTTGTGGTTTTAAGCTGACAAAAATTAGCTGATACACAAGACACCACTGCTCTCCTAACATGGGTTCCATTTACATCAATTTTACATTGACTTAGTTGTTCATTCCACAAACCCAGAGTGACAGGTTCAAATTCTGGTCAGTAAACATTTGCTCACTCCCCTTCTCTCATCTTGGGTCCGAGGACACACTGATTCTGGACTTGTTTTACAGGCTTTGGCTAAGAGAATGTCAGCTCACATCATGACCACAGAAAGTGGAATGTGCCACGTGACTTGGCTTGACTTTTATCTTCCTGCCATTCAGTGTGAGAAGAGCATATTCCATATGGCAACGACTTGTGGATATAATGCAAGACCTCAACTAAAACCAGAAACTAAAGTCCAATCCAGTCAGCCTCTGCTGAGTCACCCCAACCACTGTGGACATAAACACGAGAAACGTATGTGTTACTATTTTACATCTTCATCTTTGAGGTACTTTGTTATACAGCATAACTGTGGTAATAACTGATAGATACTGAGGTAATAGCTGACTAATTGCTAACATCCTTAGCAATTAAAGGTCTGAGCAGATGACACAAGACGAGTAACCTGTTGACTCAGTGGATAGCCCACATAGGAGGAAAGTGTTGGAAATCTGCTGAAGCTTCCATCATGTCAATGTATGAGAACTCTCTAGCAGATACATGGTTTGTTTTCCTATCAGATCACCCAGTGGGTTTAGTGATCCTGAGCAGGATTTAAGCTGGCATCTATATCTAAAGAGGTACAGTCAAACTGGGCCAAGATGATGCACACCTTTAATCCCAGCACTTGGGAGGCAGTGTGAGCTGGGTAAAAGAACCTGTCCGGTAAACCACAAATACTAGTCCTTTACATCTTAAGTGCTACCACTTCAAGAGGGTTCTGGATGACACCTCAAAAAATGGCTCTGTTCCCCTTTTATATAGCAATAGAGTACTCTGTGTTTCTCCACTGGTACCCTGATAGATGGAAGGCCAAGACATCAGAAGTTACTTTTACACTGTGTACTGCTGTATTGTAACACTGTCCTGTGTCCTTATGATGGCTAATTTGGTTGTGAACTTGGCAGGATCTATAATTGGCCAGGAGACAAATGTGAGCATTCTGACGGGGAGTTTCTAGATTGGCTTCATTGAGGTAGGAAGACCCCCACTACAGTGGTCAGCACCATTCCATGGGCTGGGGTCCTGGA